TACACCTGGCGGGGTAGGGCCGGTCAGCCAGTCATTTGCCTGACCGGGGTCACTGCGGTAAAAAGAGCTAAAGGTCACGTGGATGATAGGGATGGATTAGAGTGGCTGTTGATTAGGAATGTGGCAGGTGTATTGATGAGGGCGAGCGAAACAAACCACACACCGATAGCCATAGTGTTCTGCGGAGAGTCCAGTACTGACCGGAGTGGTTGTCATGTTGTTGGTGATTGGCTACACTGCTACAGCATCCTTAACATAAGCCGATATTGGTCTTCGATGTTGTTCCCATGAGGACGCGAGGACGATTTCACTTGAACAGACATGTTAGAGTCGAATGCAATAAAGATGTAAAGTATATCGCTTATGAACAACCAGAACCAGGAGAATTTCCAGACCTCAAAGCCGCGTTGCCTGGCACAAGGTTCATACCGGTCATTGGCGTCATACTTCACCCAATGTTCGGAACTCAGTTAGTCCACCGTCTAATCCGTTCAAGGCGTCCGAAATCTACAAGCCTCCTGCCTTAGTCCATTTCGAACGATTATGAAGGGGACCGGTGAAGTGGCATTTGTGCTCTCTGTCCATGAGATCACAGCCACGTGTTGTGTGCCTTCAACCAGGTGGAAGAATATCAACGATAAATATCCTACGTGGATGCCAGGGTAATTCTGCACTAGAGACGCGGTGGGATTCAGATCATAATTTGAGCACCGTGTGCGAGGCTATTTCCGGTAGTCACCTCTGGTCCTGCAGTGGTGCTACCGAAGGTCTCCTGTCACAATGAACTATGAAATCTTGGTTGTAATTCTGAGTTCAGCGGGGCTTTCCGGACCATCTATTGCATAAATTATACCAGCAGCTTTACTGGATAGCGACAGAAGTAAAGTCGACATTATTTCTATGGTTTGTCACAAAACATGCCAAGTTGTTGTCGGATGAAGGGTGCCATCCAGTTGGTGCCACGAGTCGTACAACTATAACCAACCCAGCAATCGTCCGTTAAAAGAAAATAATATGGGAGGACCACTTTAGGCAAGAGAGCGTGCTCTGATTGGTCGAAATACAGACTAATCGGAACTCAGGGTTTGGTTTGGTGCCGCACGCTCCGTCAAGATTTTCTAGGCGGTCTTATGAATGCAACTGCAGCAATTTATGTTTGCATCCCTACAACTCTGTATCCAGCACCCATTCTTTACCGCGTCCTATGGCAGATGAGATATCCGGGCAATTCAAACGTAGAAATTGCGAATAGCAGCTATTGGACTACCCTGGAACGAATACTGTACTTGCACGTTTTTTTCACCTTTCAACGTGCCCTCGGTTCTCAGTTGTCTCTAGACTAGTCCCCATAGCTAAGAGTCAGGGTTCTTAAATAGTAATTTGAGCATTCTAGAAGTAGACAGGATTGCCTTTGCCCAGTACAGCGGTGGTCGGAAAAAGCCGAAATTTTATTAGACCGTATGTCCATCGAACCGATTCGCCCGTTTATTGTGCATTTTGACGTTATTTTGAACTTCTTGTTTCACTGCTGATTGTGTTACGCCAGCCATTTGCTTGGAAATGGTATATGTGAAAACTGGATGAAGATGCTCACATAGACGTACTCGATTCTGACATGGCCCAAAGCATTGACGATAGACATGTGCTTCTTTAATGCACTTCAGACACTATCGGCCATCTGTACGAAGACTGCCATTGATGTGTCGTTACAGGTCATGTTGTTTACGTCGATTCCACCACCAGCACCCATCATACCGCTCAAATAGACACCAATCAACCATTGATTCTACTAGTTTTCAAACGCTAGGGTATTTTCCATTTTTCAGGACACGCCAGGTTTCAATGTCGTACTGTCGTCTTTGTCAGATTTTGATTGCCAAACCAAATACAGTTGGAAAGCTGGTGAAGCGTGCTATCATAGGCTGTGTGAATTTTGAACGACGTGTTAATGTGCGTCGCCAAGTGCACCTTAGGTCCAGGCAGCCTCTTCTAGTTCGGTTTGGCCCTGTGGGGGTATCCCACGTTCAGGGAAGATGTCGCGAGTCAAGTTTCTGATGGCAACCGCAATACGTCTGACTCCTTCATGATTAACATACACCATTCTGCCTCCTTTTTTGGAGGCAGTCCAGTACCACGAAGCGGACTCATTCTTCCAGAATCAACAAGAATCCCGCACAGTGGTTTTATGGACCTAAGCTGGGCTCTCGTCTTATCCAATGGGTTTTCCGCTCTTCACTTATCTGAAGGAAAAATAGTCACAAATGTCCAGCTGTAACACCCGTTTGACGCCTAGCTGCTGTTCCATCTGTAGGAGGCGTGAGGGCTGTGATACTCTCTGGTTTACCAAGCCTAGATGGGAGCAATTGAAATGTTTGGGGTTGGGTTCGAACCAGAGACATTCCAGCCGGTGATTTCGCGCCTAAACACAGCTAACCTGAGCTCCAGTTGTTTGCCAGCCGTGATGTTCTCCGGTTTACTTGATCCTTCATAGTTTACTTCACAGGGTATTGAGGTTGGACTGGTTTTTGAGGTCTTGAATTTAGGCTTGGGTGTTTTGGCACTTGTTTGAAATATTCTGCCCGTCATTTATCTTCATATTCTCTGTTTGGCGAAACTCCGATTCCTTACGCGACATACACTACTGAAACCGAAAGTTTCCCGGAGCCACACGGCAGACGAAGCTTGTCAGAGTCACCAATATTCGGAGGGGATTCCATGTTCAACCAGTATGAGAAGTACCATCTCCTAGTCGATCGAGTGACCTCTCGGCGGAGCGCGCAAAATTCGGCCCGTTTGGTGACATGAGCCACCATTGGATTAGGAAGCCGCTTCACTTCGTGTTTATTCGTTGCACACAGATTATGTGGTCTATGAAGGCTTTCGAATATATCTACTGGTTGTTTACTTGAGGCAGCTGGCTAGAGCTGTTAGCGTTTTATGTGATAGCTATGGAAGTGTTTCTTGGGATTCCGGACAAGTGGCGCTCTGCTGACGCGTTTGGAGGACAGTTATTACTTCTGACAACGAGTTGGAGTTTATTTCCAGTTCGAACAGGCGTGTGATCTTCATACTCCATTTCCAGGATTAGAACCTTCCTGAAGTTGGTGTACGATCTCTGGCCGAGCAGACTCTTTGTGCATTCACCAGAATATAGACTATATGGGAGGCTGTGACTCTTTTTTATATCATGTCAGAGAATATCTTCTGAGATGTCGAAAATCTGGTTTAGTGTTGAACTAAATAAAATAAGCGAGGCTTCTGAGCCTGTCAGTTTTTTGAAGCGCTGACCCAATACAAGCCTGCCAAGTCCATTGGAACATGCTGTCTTCTTGCCCGTCAGTTTAGCGTTTCGGTCACCCGCTATTATCAGGGAAGTTTGTCTTGGGGTCCTTTAGGTCCTTGTTGTGTAAACAGTCATCGTAGTTCACTTTAAGGGGCTGCCTTCGAAACTAGGCAATGCATGCATTGGGAATACGGGATTCCAGGTGAGCGGTGCATTTTTCTTATGGTTACGGCAATCAAGACACATTGGGTGCCTAGCTTTTCCGGCACTACGCTGTGGTTAAGCCAGTCAAAAACATCTGACGCGGGGGGTTGTGTTCGTTTTGCACCAGAGCCATGTAACTGAGCCCGCAAAGGCATGTGGTATTTGATCGACCTTTGTGAAGACGGTGCCTACAGATAATTTGGCTGGAAGTGTCAAGTAGTGCACGAATATTCCTAAAACTAATGGAGATTTTCTTGCCTAAATTGAGGACCCCAGTTTTCTTCTGGTCACCCAGGACGCTGGGACAGCAATGGGTGCGTCGGTTTCCGGAGAGGCCAAAGGGTCAACTGAATTGCATGTTAGAGACACTGTATTTTTTTTTAGATATGTTACTGGTCACTTGAGCACCCTTTGGCCTTTCATCGAGTGTTCACGTCTGGCTTTGTACAACGTGTTGCGCTGGAGACAGTCAACGATGTTGCGTCTAAACGTTGTCAGTGGTGTTCATGCTGCCAATTTTATCCAGATGACCTGACTAATTGTTAGAGATGCAGGCACCCGGGGGTTGGTTGGGTAGGCCTATGTCCTATCTCCCTGGCATTTCATCAAGTGTTCACATCTGGCTTTGTACAACGTGTTACGCTGGAGACAGTCAACGATGTTGCGTCTAAACGTTGTCAGTGGTGTTCATGCTGCCAATTTTATCCAGATGACCTGACTAATTGTTAGAGATGCAGGCACCCGGGGGTTGGTTGGGTAGGCCTATGTCCTATCTCCCTGCCCCATTTCTTCCTTATTTTATTATGAGGCTTTATTCAAGTGCATCGGTGTGGCTGCACAAAAGTAATACATCAGCATTTTCTCTTGGTGTTGCTCTGAACGTTGACGATGCTCTCTGTCAATCCATAGGCTATTCATCATTCAGCATTTAAGGGATCTGCATGTTCCATCATGGTCGTTTGTTGCTGATATAGCTTTCTTAGCATTAATGGGAGCTCCTGATCATGGCAAGACCTGGTGTTCCTTGGAATGTGCCATCGGACAGGCGTGGAAGGCTGTGAAAATGACTTCTTGAACCTTTTTCGATCATCCAAGTCACCGTTTGGACCTCAATTTTCCAGTCAACTTGTTGCCTACGGGGACGCTTTGCAAGTGGTGAACTGAATGAACTTATCCCAGAGGGGAAGCTAATAGATACAACTTCCCGCACAGTGCTGTGGTCAGAGTGAAGTGCTGCACTCCAAAATGAACCGCAATCTTGCATCCACGTTTTTGTTGAATGTTCATTGCGTAACCAAAGAAGTCGCTCTCGGTTATCTGCGCGTTAATCTTCAAATCAGAGGCCGCCTCCAAGGTGGGCTTCTCCTGAACTTATTTGACCAACCTGGGATTTATGTCACTTTCCTGGACCATGATAACTGTACTTCTCACTAACTTAAGCAGCCGTGAATACTCTTGAAAGGAGATGTTCCTCAGCTTCAGTACTGCCGTCTTTCGGGGCGCATCTAATACACTAACCAAACACACGTGCGTTGATCTTAATTGAAGTAGTGAACCAAATAGCGCCAGAATCACCGTTTGCTGAAATCCAGTCCAGTAAAACACATTCAATCTTATGAGTAAGCACATCTTCCATATCGTGGATATCACGAGTCCTTGCGTTAGGATCACCAAACACCCGAATCACAAGGTGCGAAAAATCTGGGTTCGTCTTCAGTATGAGGAAACTTGAATCTTTTATGCAAGTTGTTTAGACACAACTTATGCCGATCGAAAGACTAAATAAGGTCTGAAAAAGACGTACCTGTTACCCAGTTTGACACAGTGCGAACGTTGTAAGTCACAATGGGTAAAAGACCCCACAGATAACGAAATTGCTCAGTGTATAAGCAGAACCCCAAAACAAGTCATTCAAACGATTGAACCCGAAGGAGAAATTTAGGAATATGCGGTTTTTGCAGCTGTGACGAACTACAGAACGGCACCGTTTTAGTTCGAATCACCTTCGAAGAACGGCCAAATCATTCTTGTACTCTCCAGTCGCTGCATATAGGTTCGACACAACCCTACTATCTTAACAGAGAAGTCAGTGCTGTCCATTAGACCAACAACTACTCATAATTAACTACGCGATGTGTCTGTGTTTACCTTTTGCACTGCACATCTGTGGAAAGTTGACCTTGAGACTATGTATAGGACGATGTACCACCTTCTTAGACTGGTGGCCAATCTGTGTAAAGCTGACATCCGTTCTAGTGTTGTCACTTACAGTTGCCGGGGTTCTCATTTTCCAGACACAACAGTCTGATGTTTATTAAGAAATCCTAGATAACGCAGCAAGCCCAGTGTTCCGTCTCATACGGCGTGTCGTGTATTAGGTTTGGAGTTCATCTTCAATAGACGATAGAAGTTTTCGAAGTTCGTTGACTCGTTTACGGAAAGAGTTCACTGAACGCATCATCATACTTCAAACTTTCTATTTCCTAGAGATCAGTTAAGGAGCTTAAAAAATCCCTTTGCGATAAACCTTCGTGGCTTATTTTAGTGTTCCAATCTCCAACCCGGCTAGTTGAATTGACTGACCGGGAGAAGCAATTTGCTGAAATCCCAGTCCAGTAAACACATTCAATCTTATGAGTAAGCACATCTTCCATATCGTGGATATCACGAGTCCTTGCGTTAGGATCACCAAACACCCGAATCACAAGGTGCGAAAAATCTGGGTTCGTCTTCAGTATGAGGAAACTTGAATCTTTTATGCAAGTTGTTTAGACACAACTTATGCCGATCGAAAGACTAAATAAGGTCTGAAAAAGACGTACCTGTTACCCAGTTTGACACAGTGCGAACGTTGTAAGTCACAATGGGTAAAAGACCCCACAGATAACGAAATTGCTCAGTGTATAAGCGGAACCCCAAAACAAGTCATTCAAACGATTGAACCCGAAGGAGAAATTTAGGAATATGCGGTTTTTGCAGCTGTGACGAACTACAGAACGGCACCGTTTTAGTTCGAATCACCTTCGAAGAACGGCCAAATCATTCTTGTACTCTCCAGTCGCTGCATATAGGTTCGACACAACCCTACTATCTTAACAGAGAAGTCAGTGCTGTCCATTAGACCAACAACTACTCATAATTACCTGCGCGATGATCACCTTCGACGGCCAAATCATTCTTGTACTCTCCAGTCGCTGCATATAGGTTCGACACAACCCTACTATCTTAACAGAGAAGTCAGTGCTGTCCATTAGACCAACAACTACTCATAATTAACTACGCGATGTGTCTGTGTTTACCTTTTGCACTGCACATCTGTGGAAAGTTGACCTTGAGACTATGTATAGGACGATGTACCACCTTCTTAGACTGGTGGCCAATCTGTGTAAAGCTGACATCCGTTCTAGTGTTGTCACTTACAGTTGCCGGGGTTCTCATTTTCCAGACACAACAGTCTGATGTTTATTAAGAAATCCTAGATAACGCAGCAAGCCCAGTGTTCCGTCTCATACGGCGTGTCGTGTATTAGGTTTGGAGTTCATCTTCAATAGACGATAGAAGTTTTCGAAGTTCGTTGACTCGTTTACGGAAAGAGTTCACTGAACGCATCATCATACTTCAAACTTTCTATTTCCTAGAGATCAGTTAAGGAGCTTAAAAAATCCCTTTGCGATAAACCTTCGTGGCTTATTTTAGTGTTCCAATCTCCAACCCGGCTAGTTGAATTGACTGACCGGGAGAAGCAAGAAAAATTTCGAGCCGTTGATCATGGGGACTACATCAGTGAATGTTTGTACGAACGGTGCAGTGTTTACGAAATGAAGCGGGTACTTTTGTTTTGCAGGATATTCGACGTGGTCTCCAAATGATAACGAATCTGGCTGATTCGAAGGCAAACTGATTTGCCGTCGTCGATCGTTATCAGCATTGTATTTGCTTTCATTTTATGTGCGATAATTTGGTGGATTACCTGACCGCTGATGATGCTTCTTCGTTACGGCAATTCCTGACAGACGAGACTGCCATCGCCTCCGTTGACCTGCACTCACTGGCCTATCAAGCGATTACCATAGGAAGTTATCAATGTCTGGATGCTATTGTGAATCATGACACCTGTAAGTCTTCTTCATTCGGTCCTCATATGATGTGACTCCTTTTAGTTGATGCCTACGCCCCATTTACGACAGAGGGTTCCCATTTGGTAAGTCACAAGCATTAGCGCAGCTTCAGTGGTAAGACAAGTCGTAGAATTTTTTCAGGGTTTGTGGATACCCTTTCAATCAGTGTTGATCGCCTTTGTTCAACCACGTGTTTCTTCTATGTCTTGAGATCATGGATGCCTGTTATTATTATGCGGTTTGCAATTAGGTACGACGGCATGACTTCCTAATTAAATAATGAAGATTGAGTAACAGTTATCTTCAGCTGCAGTCCACTGATACATTTCGATTGTTTCCACCCTCCAGTTTTTGTGCTTGCTATTGGCTATATGGCAGCAAGGCATCATAGAGACTATCTGTTTTCTCAGCTTGTTTATTTTGCATTTATCATCTACCTCCGTATCATGCTGACTGTTCCTGCTTATAGATGATTAGTAACCTTCTCAAAATGGAAGGCATCACACAAATCACATGAACACTGTATTGTAATTCACCAATCGAGTAGTGCCTTAACATTAGATCACGTACTATAAACTGTGTTTGACGAGTGGGTTACATTGCACACTTTCTGAGCGCAATGAATTCACACTGATGATCAAGGACCATTAGCTTAGTCGTAGTGTTCTATTCAGAAAGCTTCTGGTTCGAATCCCTTCGATGTTCGTGAACTGTGCTACTTATTCCAACTGGGATTGAAAGTTATTGAAACAGTCCGATCTCTTTGCACCCACCTGATGAATTGCTGGAGGACAGAAGTGCTTGTGACTAACGTTTCGCACATCCAATCACACGCCTACCTGAAAGTTGCTCTACACTTCCCGGCTTTTCAATACTGGTTGACTTCAGTTACAAAAAATCCCATTTTAAGATCCCACTTATGTAGTTGTTTTCAGTTGACGCACCACACTTCAGGGCTGTGACACAAGATTAGCTCACGTTTTGCCACGCAATGCTCCCTTGTGGTTACCTTATCGCCCAGTATTCTGGGCCGTGTGAAGTCTCGAAATTAACTTCCTGAGTAAACGTATTTGACTCAGTTTCGTCTCCATTCGGAGAAAATTTGTTTGTGAAATTCAGCAGCCACACAATCTGTTACGATTGCCCATCACCTTACCCCCACAATTGAAGCCAGTGTCTTTTGTGGTGCAGCAGTCCTGAATTCGAAGGACAAACGGATGGACTGAAGACCAGACTGACCACTTACCGCGATAAAGCCGTTGGTCTGCCTGTTAGCCCCCACTGAATGGAAAGCAAGCTCTACTTTGCCTGCCCATCCTTGCTTAGTTCATGTAGTCGAGCGGAATAGAGGACGCTATTGGTCTCGAATTCATATTTGTCCGTATGACTGTTACCGCACAGGCTTAAGTGGCTTGGGAGTTTCATGGACGTCTTCTGATGAACTTCGTGATGAATTCTAAGCCAGATCAATATTGATGTTATGGTTTTTTTTGAATGCCCTTTATCAAATCACGGCATCTTCATAATGTTGAAACTGTCCGGTTGTTGTTATTCGTCGGGCTACTGTAGCTACTTACGACTGCTCTCCTGCTTACTGTGCGTGTACCATTTTTCTATCCCAAAGCCCCTCCTACATCATGCCATACGTTTGGGTGATCTTCATGCATGCAAATTGCTTCTGGAAAATGGCTTTCACCCTCTGGTTTGTTCCGGCGCATGTCAAACGGCCATGCAGGATAAATCTGTTGGGGTGGACGACATCTGCGAGGATTGCGAGGATGCCGTCCACTATGCCTTGCATTACGCGTGCGCATCAAACAGAAGAAACACAGTGGCGGTACTTTTACAGACAACATTTTGTGAGTCTGTCCTGTCATCTGTCCAATGCTACTCATAAGGTCGTTGAAAACTACACTTCCGCCACGTTACTAAACCCTTTCTGGTTTGAGCTGACTTGAATTGACCAATAATTCTCAGGAGATATACACGAAAACGTTGTTTCAGTTCCAAGGCTGTACTGAATAGCTTGCGTAGAGTTTGCGAACACAGCCTTGGAAACAGTTGGATACGACTGAATTTGTATTAATCCATTTTGGACACATGCGGTATGATTTTATTAGTCACCCGTTCCATGCGGAAACTCTCGATGTCGAGTGGATCGACTGATGCTCCACAAATATGTTGGTTTGATGTGTGCGTGCGTTTGGGGCGTGGGTTGATGACGCTATTTTACTACCATGAGTGGTTTTTCCTCTGCAAACTTAGCGGTCTGAGGTTATGATTATGGCAGAATCAGCTTCCTCCAGCCGCATACAACTCTCACCATCCATTCACATGCCCGTTCGTCTACTGTCGTTCGACCGTATTCGTTTGCCCCTCACATGTGTCATGTCAACTAACAACTTAATTGATTAACTATCCAATATTGAATAGCCAGTGGATCCACATAATCAGCTGTTTTTACCTCCCCCTTCGTTCTGTTTCACAGACTCCTTCATTTCCAGTAAGTCCATCTGGCCTTTTTTCCCCAGACGATCATTCATTCGTTGAGTCATCTTTGCAGTTCATAACCTGTGAGTTGATTGCCTTTAATCACACGGCACCCTTTTTGGATTAAGCCTCCTATTAGACAGATAAGTAGACTAATGGGCAGTGAGTGAAAGTACTACTCTATTTTCGGGTGTCCTGACCCCAATCGATCAAATATGCATGACCTGTTCCCAGTGATGCATAAACCTGTTTGTTACTTGCGGGGAAAGGGCAGTCGTCAAATGTAGTTCTGAGTGTTAACGGTGGTTTAACAGTATACTGCCTTTTCCAGCGGTTCCGTTTCACCGGTTGTTGCTGCGCAGTGTTTAGCAACTGGAGAGTACTAGTCTTGGGGACGAATTTTCATGTTTCCCTGGACATCTTCATCGATTCACCACAGGCCTATAGAGTCGTTGGGCCCAATTTTCGTGTTTGTAATTCTTCGGTCATCTGTGATTTCCGCGTTTGTGGTTGTCTTGTGCACCATCACCAACTAATGATGCGCGCTTCAGTCAGGTTTGAAGATCTGCCCACGTGACAAGTTGGCTCTGTTCATGTTCAACAGTTTGTGTTTACCTGAATGGGGATGTATCTAAGTGTATTCCTCCATGGAGCAGCTCCCGGCATCTACGAGCTCAGCTTCTCAGCAGTCTCTGGGACACTAACTTATTTTGTGGCGAATGGTTATCCGGTGTTCGGCTGTTCAGTAGTTCCTTGTTTGAAAGTACTTGCTCGCTCGCTAATTCGAAATGTCCCAGTCTTGACGGAAAATTCACAGGTAGTCTGGGAGCCAATATCCGGGAAAGTACACCAAGAACATTTCGCAGTTAACCTTGAACGACATCGCTAAGGACCGCTTCCACTTGGAACTACAAGAGTTGTGCCGCTTCCTTACCGCTCACTCATCACACCGATTGCTGCATAGCTTTCATCATTCGCGATAAAAAGATCCAGTTATCGAGTATATGCTTCCGACCATAACTCACTACCAATTTTATGTACCATTTCTTCACCAAAGGTCTTATGGAAGCGTGTGATAAAGGCGATAGCAAACAGCTAAAACAACTCTTACCCCAAGAATTGCGTCTCCGGTGTTGTTTTTCCCTGCTCTCTACCCATGGGTACCGATGTTCTAGTCAGTCCAGCCCCTCACGCACCAACCCACTGTCGACCATCAACTGTAGGATGGAAGAAACCACGTCAAACTGGAATGCTTTGTCGCGCGGTGGGATTTCAACACAAGCGGTAACCTCTGCGCTGGCTATCGGTTCTGGCAGTGTGCTGCTTGGCAAACGACTCCTTAGCGCCACATCGGATACAGTCAATCAGGCAGTCGGAGTGTTACAGTCAATAACGAAGCTGTTAACCGGTACTTCTAGTTCGGGCTCGGTTGGATGGCCGTTGGAAAACTTGCTGAGTCGCATCGAATTGGCTTCGTGGTTCAGAACCTGTTCAGAACGGCTGTTGCTACTGTGAGTGCTCTTTTTGTGTATTATTTCGAGTGATAGTGAGCTAGTGCAGGCAAGACTACTCAAGTTGCATCACCGAGGTTTATGACTTTTGTCTTAGGAGACGAGATGGCTCAGTGGTTAGAGCGCGGATTTGCTGACCAGAAGGTTCGTGGTTCGAACCCGAATCTTGACTCTTGACTTCCCCCGTCTAGCCTTGGGCAACCTGGCAGTACCCCAGCCCTCGTGCCTCCTTCGGGTGGCAT